GGCGGCGATACCAGAGCACATCCGACTTACATATTTACTCGCTAAATCCTCCTACCCTGTCGTATGGATGAGTACTGTGATGTGGTAAACAAATCTATTCAGTTTGCCCTAAGACAGAAATAACTCCCGGTGTTTGCGTTATCTCCTGTGTGCTGCTCTCAAAACCTTCGTTCGCTAAATTGGGAGATCGCATGGGCGAGTTCTTCTAGGTTGCTCATCATCAGAATAATAAAAGATTCAACTTTAATGGTGCTCGGACTCCGTCGTGCGAACCGTAGAGACTCGCTCCTCGGAAGCGCCACCCCCCCTCCGTCTACAAGGCAAGGCGCAAAGCTGTCGGTCAATCCACGGCTCCTAACTTTATTTATGCTTCTCTGTGAGAAATATTAGTTTGGAATCCAAGCTAAGCATTGGTGTGCTTAGAAGAGACTGTTAGGAGACTATGGCCGTCATAATAAGGCCAGGTCAATGATTAAAGCTACCCAAAACCGCCTAGCGACTGCAGATATATGCGACGCCCAGCCGCTGGAGCTATACTCCAGAGCAAAACTGAACTATAAGCAGTCTCATCCATGAAGGTCATGGTCGCTGCTTAATTCTGTCGGTTAGACGTCTGTATTTGGTTATTCACCACGAAAATGATACTTTAGACAGTACATTTGTTGCGGCAGCTTAAATCATAGGCGGATCATAGCCAATACGAACTTCAGGTCCCGAATAGAAAGAGGACGTTAGTAAATATGACATTATATCCTATTGTCGATACAGGCGAAGATGCAAGTTCCGGGAACTAGTTGACCAGATCCTATGGGTCACAGGTTGGAGTACTTGGACTGTGATGATTCAGTGAACCTTTGACTATCTATCCCGAAATTAATATATTTGAAAGTATGCTCGCCTTATTTATTTGCTCTGTAGCAAAGTGCTCCATAAAGTCTCAGAGGAAGAAACTATGGCAACTTTGTACTGCAACATGATGGGAATTTACTTCTAAAAGTTCAAAAGTTTGTCATGATGGAGGATGTTTATACGGACATGGCCGAGTACTTAAACGACTCTAGATTTGATAGGAAATGCGTAGTTTAAAATGTACGCGTTCATATAAAATAACACTACCGAGGGGGTAGTTCTGCCAATACCAATTTCGCTGGGATGATGTTCAGCACCCAAAATGACGAGGAAATATCGTCGGGGGCTGTTGCATCCCCGGGATACAGTACGGTCTGGGCTTGGATACGAGGGGTGACTGCATTTCTCTCTAACCAAACAATCTGCAGGGTACTTAGAAGTAGAGCCTACAATGCGAAGCTACGACAGACCGTTTTGACGAACAGACCAACAATGAGGCATTTTGTGGCCAGGTAGCACAAAGTAACAGGGTTAAGGCCAGAGTTACGGTTAGAGTAAAGGTCAGGTTTAGGGTTAAAGTTTGGGCTAAAGTTGGGTTTAGTGTTTAGGTTTAGGTTACGGTCAGATCGCAGGAAGAGGTGCCCTTGAGGAATACAACGGAAGATCACCTGTACTACGTGGGCAACTATTCAGTTCAGTTCAGTTCAGTTTATTTGAGGGAAATATAGGTGCTAAACCTTTGAACTCCCTATTTGTTACAAGGAGGCGAACAATAAAAAAAAATTTGAAAATGGAAATATCAAACAGCTACAGAGTTTCTTCAGATTGGCAACGTTTTGTAAGCCAGACAGATAAACGAATTGTTCCAAGAGTTAAAAACATTAACGTTACTAAATGTGCTGTACAGTAGTCGGTCTAGGGATAGTTGGTGCTATCTCAGTTTCGGAGGGAGACGAATTGAATGCCAACACACATTCAACAGACATGGGACAATATTAAAAAACAAACGTTATTGAAATACAGAAAGTAATATAACAACATTAATAAACTGTTCGAGCGAAATGCTAGACAATCTGTCAGGTGGCAATATGACGATTGGTGGCAATCTGGTCCAAGTTGCGCTTAAAAGCCTCGACGGAGGTGGACATGACGACACCTGCAGGCAGAGCATTCCAGGCCTCGATCACTCTGTTTGAAAAGAAGAACTTCCGAGTGTCCAGCTTGGCGCCAGTTACGCGTAGTTTAAGTGGATGACCTCGGAGGTTCGTTGTGGTCGCTAACTCAAAGAAATCAGTAGGTACGAGACAGCAGTCCTGGCCGCGCAGTATAAGGAATGTTTGTATAAGGTCGCCTCTTAGCTGTCTGTAACTCAGTGGAAAGAGGCCGAGATTGGACAATCGGAGTTCATAGGGTAGTGAACCCTGTCCACTTACGAGTTTGGTTGCCCGCCTCTGAACTTTCTCAAGGATGCTGAGATCTTTAGAGGTTCACGGTTTCCACGCCTGAATAGCGAAATCTAGCTGTGGCCGTACGAAAGTCCGAAAGACTTTAACGAAGCAGTCCTCATCGAAGGTAGAGAAAGCTCTCTTAACAAGATAAAGGACTGACATCGCAGACTTGGCTACCTTGGAGCAGTGAAGCGACGGTTTTAGAGAAGCCATTACCCACACCCCCAAGTCTTTCTGGGCGTCTACCTCCTGCAATGGTACGCCGTTTAGGTGACAAACCCTCCGGCTCAGAGATCGGGTCCTGCCGACTCGCAGGACATTACACTTAGTCACATTAAACGGCAACAGCCAGTCCTGTGACCATTTCTCGAGTCGGGTCAGGTCTGCCTGCAAGCGCTCTTCGTCAAATTCAGTTCGGATGACGCTCCAAAGTTTAACATCATCAGCGAACTTGGCGACATCACAATTCAATTCACTGACGCAGTCGTTGACGTATATAATGAATAGGGTAGGGCCAAGAACGGAGCCTTGTGGAACACCGCTTTCAAGCGCAACCTCCGCCGACTGCCTGTCACCGACGTGGACGATTTGAGAGCGACCGATGAAGAAACTTTGTATCCACCTCAGGAGATTACCCCTCAGGCCTGTTCGGTTTAATTTGTACAGGAGACGCTGATGGGGTACACTGTCGAATGCTTTCTTAAAGTCGACGTAGACTGCGTGCACTGCATTGCTGCCATCGACTGCCCGGGTCCAGCGATCTAAACAATATAGTAGATTCGTCACGCATGATCTGACTCTACGAAATCCGTGCTGGGCATCGCATAGCAGATTATGCTCTTCTAGGAACTGCATTATTTTTCGCTTTATTATTTTCTCCAGAATTTTGCAGCAAATTGAAGTAAGGCTGATTGGTCTGTAGTTGTTTGCTAAGACCTTGCTGCCGCCTTTATAAATTGGCGTGATCCGCGCTGATTTCCAATCGGAAGGCAAATAGCCTGCTTCGAACGAAGCTTGGAAGAGCATGGACAGCGGTTTGGATAGTTCTCCAGCAAGTTCCTTCAACAATTTGGGCGGTATGTCATCCGGCCCAGGTGATTTAGACTCATTCAACAATAGCTTCGGCGAAAGAGACGTGCTCAATCGTTGGCCCGTCCACTATGTCGCAGTCGGGAGGGAGAGATGCGCTTTCCTTCATAAAGATGGACTTAAAGAACTGTGAAAGGTGCTCTGCCTTTTCTCCGTCTTCACTGAGTTCTAGGTCGTCACTAGTTTTCAATAACGGGATTGGGTCTGTGTTTCGTGTGCTTCTTCTTATGTAACCATAGAACAACTTCGGATTTTCTGCGGCTCGATTTAGTAGGTCTTTCTCAAAAGTACGCCGCGACCCGAGGATTAACCTCCTAACTAGGTTCCTCTGTGCTTTGTATGCATTTAACGACACATAGCTCCTATCCGAGAGGAATTTCCTCCATAACCTCCGCTTTTTATTCACTTCTTTTTTTTAAAGCTTGTGTTAGCCACGGGGGTCTGCAGTTTAGTCTCTTCCGTGAAAAAGGACAGTGGTCTCTGAGAAGAACGTGCAGTTACTCACTAAACCAGTCCCAATCCTTGATTATGTCACCGGAAAAAGCTGATTCCCAGTTTATGGTGTTTAGTTCAGCTTTCATTTGGGCAAAGTCACCGCGCCAAATGTTCCTTCTAACCCTGATGGCCTGTTCGGGCAGAGAAAAAATGGAGTACTCCCACAACAGTACGACGTGATCGCTTCGACCTAGGGGGGGTAGACATTGCACCTCATCAATGCTGTCCAGTGACTTCGTAAGGAGCAGATCCAGACAGTTTGACTGTTGCCCTTCGCGCACCCTTGTCGGAAAAGAGACGTGCTGAGTGAGAAATAACTTGAAGGTCATGTCCAGCAAACGTCGGTCGAAAGCATGGCCTGGATCAGATGCATAAGCTGACCTCCAGGCGATAAGAGGTGCGTTGAAGTCCCCCATGATTAAGACTTCGGACCGGATAGAGAATCTCTCTATTCCCGTGCACTATTCATTAGCAGAAAAATCACTCTATATTTACTTATCCAGAGACTCATAGCAACAGCCACTAACAATGCTGTCAAGTTTTCTGACTTCTGCGTTCTGAATGGAATGAAAAACATTCTTTACGATTATTTTCTTTCACCAAAACGGGTGTGATTTTAGCATCGTCGTCCTATATCAGGGAAGTGTTGAAAAGACCGTATGATAAACTTATGAGAAGTGGGACATGCAAGGCCAGGGGCACCGAAGCAGACATTTCTGACTAATTAACCGTCATTAGCCGGCTATGCTCGACCCCGGGGTGGGGAAGGCCTGTGACCCTAACCCTGACGCTTCCGTCATCGAGCATTTGAAGTGGACGCTTCGTGAGGACCACTCATGTGGGCCTCCCACGTCAGGACTCGGATACGGGAACGTCTCCCTGCCCCCCTCCCCCTAATAATACAGGCGACCTTGCGCCAAATTCCGGGGACGTATTCTGTTCTCGCGTCTTAATCCTAAGACTAACTCTGTTATTGCTCCTAACCCCAAAATTGGCTGTAACCCTTATTTCCCCTGGAACCTAGCGCAAAGTCACCTGCATCATGGGAGGTTCCTACTCCCATGATCTGTCGCGTAGCCTGGAGGGAGGCGCACCAAAGCGATCCTTTCTCGACACTTCTTATTCATCATCATCATCATCATCATCATCATCATCATCATCATCATCATCATCATCATCATCATCATCATCATCATCATCATCATCATCATCATCATCATCATCATCATCATCATCATCATCATCATCATCATCATCATCATCATCATCATCATCATCATCATCATCATCATCATCCCCCGGGCTCAGGTCCTGTCAGCCACGATAAGAGATATTCAGATCCTCTTGCTCTACTAGCACTAAGTAATCTCTCCTGAAGGTTATTGCCTCCTGAACTCCCGATAGATTGGTGCGCACCCCGCCTAGGTGACTGCGACTGTTCAGTCAGACAACAATCACTCGCGAGAGCGTGACACAGCATCACTTAGTTCAGGCCTGTTCTCACGGTGCATGTACACGCATCGACTGTGAAAGTACCGCGCCCGAATGCCACTTGTCAAGGTCGTGGTGAGCACAATCAGTGCCAAAGTCGCTTGAACACGTTCGATTTTCAATCAGCAGAGAGTCCACGGCAGGCATCTTATCTGGCACTCAATGGGCCTCCAAAAATGCCCCAGATCGATTGACTTGCTCACTAGGGGGAGCCTAGCGTTCCCCTACGAAGGCGCGTGCACACACACACACTGTGCTCCGCAGAAGTGACAAATGGAACTGCTGGCCAGCCCAATGGCACTAATCTTTGCCAGAAGACTGCTCACAATTTATCCTTGGACGTCCATCTGGAAGGCCACAACTGTTCACTTCGGCTGTGACGAAAGAAGTGGCCTCGACTGAGTCCCACGCCCAGAAAAGGACGAGAAGTTTAGGCTTTAGACAGGATCTGAATCACTGTCTTATCTTTTGTGGAGATTACTTGTAAGGTGTTGGCGATTCTGAAAATATTACTCCTAAACCGCGAAACATTCATGCAATGGTTTGTTAAACTGCGTAGAAAAGAAGTCATCTTCGACAACTAATTGAAATAGGAGGGGGAAGACGCCTTCTATCCAATGGGGAGTGTGGATATTTCAGACTTTGGACGAAGAGCTTAAAGCGAACTGTTACTCACGGTATAATTTTGCGTTCTGCCTAATTTACGATGGTTCCAAAAAGTGACAGACCAGGCAGACTCCGATCCCGTTTTTTGATCTTTGATTGGCCTGCAGATAAATGCCCCAAGGTTTATAAATGATAGTTTTGCATGGTTCACCATACTGCCAGTATAAGTACAAAAGAGCAGACGGGCATGGTGCACCGACTTCGCATGTGCTGCAGAACAGAGCTGCGAGGGATTCGAACAGTCGGTAAGTCCATCAGCGCTCTTCGCGTGCGTTCGGGTATAAGCTGCAGCGCATAACGTTAATGTTTTTTTTTTAGTGTTTACAGAAATCCATTCGCGAACTTGGAGCAGATCCTTCTAGGTGGACAGTTATAGGATTGGCGCAAAAGTTGGCATGAGCTGAAATCCACCAGCCACCGCGAAATTACCGCTCGGCTAAAAGCGTCCCGAAACGCGTGCTCCGCCGACCTCGCGTGCGCTGCAGGACACCACTGCGAGAGATTGGGCTCATCGGGGGGTTCCTGAGTGCTCCCTGCGTGCTTTCTGATAATATGAACTCCAGCTCCACTGTTACCTATTTTAATTAACTAAGAGATTAATATGTAGACTTAGAGCAAATCCTTAAGAAGAGGTCTTTTTGGCTCGGTCTGAGAGATAGTACGAAAACTCGAGTTACGATCCATCCGCTGCAGCTGAATATTTGCAAGCTGTCAACAGACGCTCAGTCGGGTACGTATGTCGGTTCAGTCATTGTACGACCAGCTGCTACTACTACTATTACTACTTACAGCCTGTTAGCAGCTTGCGAATATTCTACTGACGTAGATGGATTACAACTCAAAGATTCATGAGACTTTTGAATTCAGCGTCAGCATTAAGAGAAATTCAAACATTTGGCGCTTTTAGATATAATTATAGCTGGTGGCCGTGTGCCATTGGGAAGCTTTAAATGTGAACTATGATCTAAGAAAATGTTTCTGCCTGGTCATTTTTAATTTATACACAAGTTATCAAATGAGTATGCGAGTAAAGTCCTCGGATCATGACTTTTAAGGTTTGACAAGAAGGCCCTTCGGCTGCACCTTCTAGAATATCTCACATAGTTCGAGTCGTAAAAATCCCACCAGATGAATTACAGTCTTTACATTTTCACTCCACTTGGACAGTAAGCGTTGATTTTAAGGTTGGACAGACAAAATTATATTTACTAGAGTCATTTTAAATAAAACATACGGTAAACTGGAGTGTGCGCAAGAAATCCCATAGAGAAAACTATAAGACCCACCAATGAGTCGGACCTTTCACAGCAGCATCACTCCGCAGCAAAAAATAGCCAAAGCTAGTGCCTGGACTTATCCATGTTTTCTGGGCGTCTCAATGATCTTGACCTTCAAGACGCTTAAGTAAATGAACGTGTCCATCAGGTGGAAAAACCCGCCATGAAAGAAAGATTGACATAAACGCGTGATACCAAATCATGTTTTTTTTTTAAATTAAAGATTAACAATGTGCAGGCATATCCCACACCACCGGCACCTCTCATGTAAGGGGGAAGTATGCTTTTTAGCTCCTACCGCTACCCGATCCTATCCTACTTATAAAATTTGAACAATCTAGCGCCGTGTGTGTGCGAAATCCTGGTGTGTACGTGTGGTAGTTAAGTCGCGTGCGCGGCACGTGTAGAGGAGCTTTCCTGGACTCTGTCAGTCATCTCTTTCAATCTCAGCATCAGTTGACTGACCGGCACGGACAGGTGTACGGAACAGGGTAAAGCGAGTGAGGTCGGAGGTGTTAGCGCATACTCCTCGTCATAATCAACTGGGCACGCTTGGATCTATCAGGGTACGCTAGAAGCCGTGACTTGGTAACTTACGGGATAAATCGGGTCCCGCGATCAGTCCACTGTGTGTGTTTGTGTGGAATAGCAGACTGGTGGCCTGAGAGTCAAGTTGGGATGGTTCCTTCTTAATATGGCCTCTACGGCATTTCCACTCAGTGGGATCAAAGTTCCCCTCTTTTTTCCTGCTGTATAAAATCCTGTTCAAGTGTTTATTGCGGACCAGGGATGTGGTGGTACGTCTAGGCGTGGGTTCTTGCCGAGCCAGTCACCTGTGCTCTCTCCCTTGCCTCAGGTCATATTATCTCTGTCATGAAACCGGGCCCAGATGGGAAGGGGGAGAGAGGGCGGCAGATACTAAGCAAGTCTACTGTCATTGTCACTGAATTCATGCGCAAGTCATCGTCTCTACTCTCGCCCTGCTGTGGTGCACACGGTGGACATCGTCGGAAACGGAGCTCGAACCATCACCTCTGTATCACCCTTTCAAGCGTCGTTTTTTACGTCAGGTACAATTTCAGCAAGAGCGGATGTCGTTTCTCGATACTCAGCCAGATTTCTAAAGTCGAAACGTTTTTATCGGGTTATCTTTTAAAATATATTAATGAAAATATCCAGAACTTTATTGGCAGACAGTGCTCTGTTAAGAACTACGCGTTGGATGTCAGAGGGGAGCGCCAATTGGTAGTTTCAAGGACAGCCGTTAATTGCCAAAAAACCAAAAATACCAATGAGTGGCAGCTTCCAAAAGATATTTAAAGCAGGAGAAATTCTGACACGCAGTTTCCTAACAGAAGAGCTGAGGACCTTCGGCATGCAGAAACTTGGTCAACAATCAATTGTTACTGTACAGGGGTGCCATGAAAGGGGTAAATGCCGCTACTGCAAGCGAGATGATTTTCCAAACATGGCATGGAGTAAGTTAATACGCAAGTAATTATATTGAACTTTTTTTCTCAAAGTCATGACTGCGGAAAAACTGACCGTTGCTGATTTCGAGGCCCTCATAGAACGTGGCTGGAGAAGGTAGGTCTTTCTGATTAGACCAGGAGTTACACAGCCGTCTCTCTTTCCCTCCAGAACTGGAAACGCCTGTTTCCAGCCGACTAATTCAATCAACTGTTGTCCCTGCTACGCCATTCGATGCGATACCCTAAACTTTAAACCCTCCCGCTCACAGCGAAGTGTTCTCACTGATATGGTGAACTTCCTCAACACGGGCAAAAAGAGTGATGGAGAGCGCATTGCTAGCACGAGGGCAGCAGAGGAGGACCCCTTGCTGGTGGAGCTCAGGAACTCCTACACCTCGGTGGATGGAGATGCCTGCGTCAAATTTCGTAAGTTACACTTTCTTTTTCAGACGCACCCTTCCGATTCACGTCACTTATATTCTCCACTGGCATTTGAGTCCATTCAAATTAACATGTACCGATCACACTCATACATATAAGTATTGACTGGGAGTAGTTGATCGGCCAATCAATCTCATTTTCTTGACGTCTAGCAGTTGCGCCTGTTCTGGCAATCAGCAAAATGAAACAGCGCGAGTGACTATGGTTCTGTTTTCTGAGATATCCCTCCACCCTAGTACGTATTTGCTGCTGGCCTCCATGTGAGTTAACAGACGACGAAAGGTCCCCCCCGACGCCCGGGGACAAAAGGTACAGTCTAGCGTAGCGTTGCTGAGTGCGGAAATAGATCATACACCCATCTTTCATTGACCTTTATCTAAGAGGCATCTTTGGAATCCCGAGCAGCCTTCAAAAGCCAGGATTTGCCTAACTGAGAGAACAACCTGGGCTAGCTGGCTAAAGTACTGCGTTGTTAGGATATGTGTGCTGACGTCCTCAACCAGCAAGCTCTGTTGCACCGGAATTTTCGCCAACGTAGTAAGCTTGGGACCGTCTGACGCCCTGCTGAGGCACACGAGACGTTGACTGAATTTTTGACTTCTGAAAATAACAACTTGATCCGAATAGGCCTGCCTAACATGGCTTGCGATTACTGCTTTCCTGCACTTTCAGGTAGATCCAGACAACGCACCATCAGCCACTTTCGAGAGGAGGCCCCAGACTCGGGCATCTGTCTGGTAGGCGAGGATGAGGACTCCTGGCAGAAGCTGTCGACGGAATCGGATCAAAAAGAGAGTGGTGATCAGCGCAGCGGATCCTCCAAACGCAAGCGATGGAAGGCTCTTCAGGAAAAAATCTACCTTCGCAGTGTCCGCGAGGGCGTACCGTATGCAAAGCTGATGGCAGTAAGTCTGAGCTTTTTCAAATTCCTTAGAAATAGACTTATCGCAAACCGTAAAGTCACTACCAGCAAAGCATCACAAAGGAATAACCATAAATATGCAGTTTTAAAAAATTGAGCAAAATACAGGCGATTAAACTTTTGCAGCAGGTCGTTCTTGATGAGGGGACTTGGTAGAAAGAAACCTCCACAATTAGCCGACAAATTGCAAACCCTTCTTAGCACTGCCTCAACGCCTGGCTGTTATTTCCTGATTATGACGTCAAAATTAGTTCCAGTTGAATTATTAAGGTTAAACGGACAACGGTATAGAGAAGGACCCCAGGTAACTGTCAGTAGACTGTGGATCGCGCCATATGAGGTTTTATTTTGACATACATTTGCAGGCTGTTGCAGAAATTGCACTACCACCAACGATTACTTCCCATGGCATCACATCTTAACTTGAAATCCGCAATTTTGGGAAATTGACTTTTTGTTTATTGTTGAATTACTACTAGCGTAGGATAAGACTTTAGGCATAAATCCAGTTAATTTCGGTCTTGTCGTTCATTTTGGCAGCTTACTGTCCAGTGTGCTGTCCCACCCATAAAACTCCATTTACAATAAATCCCGTATGGCACGATCCACAGTCTCATGGCAGTTAAGCGGGGTCCTTCTGTATACCGTTGTCGATAAAAGCTCTGAGACCCGAGCACTGGTTCAAAGATCGATCTCATGAAATGTTAATCGAAATTCTGAAATGCTTTTTCGATTTGGAAGGAGTAGTTAAGCGAGTCTGTAATACCGACTATCCTACTGCGTACTGCCGTGATATTTCGGGCACACTCGGCCGTTGACTTTTAAATGCATTTCTTTTCAACCGTCTGAAAAACCGCATTAATTAAAAAATGCCTACTTAAGTAGCAAGCACTTCATCATCGATTTCCCATGCTCAAATAGGGAGCAGAAGCAAACTCTCGATTTCCACAAGAGTCTTACCAATATCCTTCCGCCTAGCATGTTGTTGTTTTTTCTGGTTTTTTTCAGGAATACTTTGAGCGACGACAGAAACGGTTAGCAAAGAACAAACCCAAAGAGATGGAAGAAATTTTGGAACAGATAAAACCGAAGGGAGAAGCCAAGCACTTCATTGAGGTGAGTGTTTCATCCTGCGTTTGCGAAATTGGTGTTTGCACTTTTTGCAGATAGTTTTTCAACTAATGGAAGGACAGACAAGAAACGGATAGCATGCTCTTCCACAGCAGTTTTAAGAGCACCTATACGGTCCTAAACTGCTGAGACCTTTACACAGCTCCAAACTCCATGTGCACTAAGCTGAAAAGTTGGCAGACTGAATGCTTGAGATACCATCGGCACCTTTTTAAAGAGATTTCCAGAACTCCATGTTTACGTCACTCTACCTAAACTACGGTTCTCGCAAAAGAATTATCCTCACGCCTTGTGCTTATTGACTTCCTCCAACAGCTGTGAAACCAACAGAGTTTAGGATGTTTGAAAAGAACTCTGCTTGCCACTTGAACAGAAGAAAAAACCCGTCGTTCTCTCACGGTGGCTGCTGGACTTGGTGCCCTCATTTTACAAGTAGCAAAATTGATCTACTTCTTACCCTAAGTAAAGTTCTGCTTCTGAAAAGGCAGCAAAAGTAAGTTTGGAAAAGGCCTTCGACAAAGTCTCCAAATTCAAGCCCGTGGGACAGTCTTGAAAGTTAACAAATCTTACCACCACATCGCATGCGTAGGCGAATGTAAGTCGAAAGAGAGACGTGTCAAGATAAGTGTGTCTGTAAGTAGATTCCAGCCTTTCAAGGCATGCAGCTCACCAGCCCTTCGCATGTCTGCACCCAACAGATGCGCCTCTGTCCATTAAATCCGCGGACAGCGGAACTGGAGAAGGTTTTGCGTCAGGAGTTCGATATCTACAAGCGGTACTCGGATCGCGTGCATGGAACCGTCTACAAGGAGTCGGACTACGACATCTTTGTGCAGGCTCTGGTCAACTCCCCGATAATTGTAAGTTTATTTTCACTTTCGAGTCCACAAAAATAACCCCCCCCCTCGGAAGATAGATATAAACGCCGTCGCCTTGTACTGCCTACAGCAAGAAGATACCGGCGCGGGCAAAAATTCGCAACTTCCCTCCTTTGGCTCCTTCCATCAGCAGTACTGGCTTGACGGGAAACAGTTGATAGCCGTTGGAGTGATTGACATCCTTCCGAGCTACGTCTCCTCCAGTTACTTCTTCTATGACCCTGACTTCGAATTTCTGCATTTAGGAACCTACTCAGCGATGCAGTGAGTCTCTTGCTGAATTTTTTTGAATGCGCTTTCAGAAGATGTTTTTCTATCGGTGGATGTAATGATGTGGGAATTGTACAAATGCTTTCGGGATCATAAGAACAAATTCACATGTGCGGGATAGATATTAACACCTGCCAGAGAGACTGGAATGACCACTTTGTCTCTCTAAGTAGCCCTCTTCAGCCAGTCGTACCTGAACCCCGGGCTTTGAATGATCAGCTATTAGAACTCGGATAATTTGGTCACGGGAAGTCAAGTTCAACGCTAACCGCCACGCGACCACATAAGAGGGCTATAGATTCAGTTCCGAGGCGCAAAAGGACGATCACTTCTTGGAGTGTAAGCGGATCGGCAAACAACCCACTCAAATGAGGTCCATGTATTGAGATACGCAGAAATTCCACATCAAGTGCATGTCAATAGGAAGAAAAAAATAAGGCGTTGTCTGGAAAAGACAACGTAATCATTTGACCTAAGCGGATGCATTGTCAACAATAACCGATAGAAAAGTTGCCTGTCTCACTTAGCCCTCTTGCTGACTATGTTTGATCTCGACAACTTTTCGAGGTAGTTATGCACTTCTGTGTAGTCTGGTGGTAGGCAGTCTGAGACGGCTAAGGAAGTTGCTGTCGCATTGTCAGAGATCAGTCATGCCTCGGGCTACCTGGAACGTGGTGACGGGCTCAGTTCCATCTCGTACCGCAACAACAGCCATGTATGTTATCCTGTGTTCAGAACTATGACAAGTAACGCAACAAATTTACTCTAAAATTGACAGTTGAATTAGATCGAATTATTCCGGTCTTGAGAGCGCTTTATTGCAGCAAAATGGCTTAAAGTGCTCTAGAAGCGTTTTCGGACCCTCCGGCAAAAAGAAACAGCGAGTGAACAATTCTCCTGCTGTTTAACTGCAATATTTATGACCACAACACTTCCTTCTGCGGAGTAAAGGCGTAAACCCAGTATGCCTGGTTTACAGCGTGTTCTAACAATAATTGTTCGTTTTTAAAATGAAAATATAATTATCACGGAAATCTTAGTTTCGCGCAACAATATTAGCCTTTTAGATGTCTTCGATCTTCATGCAAGTACGCAATTGGAGACCAACCGCTAGATGAGTGACATAGCTTACTTTACATATACAGATCTAACATGTACCACAAAAATAACAAAGGCCACCTAGGGTACACTCCTCTCATTATTGGAATAATTGGATGCAGTTTTAAGGCGGTTAGTTACGCGGGTAAAATAACGACGAAATTCCCCAGTGAGAGACGAATTCACAGAAGGAGCATACAACAGCAAATCATCCGCTCTGCCCATCGCTTGCAACGCTCAGCAACACAAACGACCGTCACTGTAATAAAAGTGGGCAGTTATAACCAAACCATGGATTTTGGGGCTCTTGAAACGTTTCATCCCTCTCACCCGAAGCACAACTTTGAAGTAACTTTTCTTGTACGGGAGGTTTGACCACAGACAACCTTCCAAACTAAGCATGATTTTGAAATCCAAACTGTCCACACCAAGGCAGGCGAATGCCTAACGGTCCTCTTACGACAGAATTCCGGACAGGTTTACCTAATTAAAAGAAAAGACAGGTTTTCTTTGATTATGGTTTACACAAATTCGCGGACCATTGTTTCTCAATGCCGGCCTCCAAAACCTCCCTCCGTTGACAATGATGACACATCAGTTGCAGTTGTTTTGCGCATGGTGCTCGTTCGCGTTTTTGATTCCAACTAGTGAGTGCCTAGAGGAAACCCTCGCTGCATTATGTTATTATTTTTTAAAGATTCTCCTTCCGGTTAAACAGTCTGAAATGTTATTCGACCCTTTTCGGAAATGTGTGCAATGAATCAGAATGATTGACGAGGTACTTCTTATCTAACTTTATACAGAGAGATCCAGATGGTCCGGAATATCTACCGTCTCTACGGACCAGAAAGTCGGAAGCCCGTTCCAGCCCTCGCCGGATTCAAGTACTACACCATGGGCTTTTACATCCACTCCACGGATAAGATGAACTACAAGGGCAGATTTTCCTCCTCCTACCTTGCCTGTCCTGAGTCCCATACCTGGTATCCGATCGAGAAGTGTCGACCACTGCTCAACGTCAATAAGTACTCCCGCCTTTCACCTCCGCATATCCCTGATTCCCAGACTACCAGTAAACTTTCAACGGAGGAACTCCTTCAGCGACTGATCTTCATATTCCTACGCTCCTCGCCGCCCAGCAGTAAGATCCCCGTTCTGGAGAAACTACGGTTGGCACTGACAAAGAAGAAGGGGACCGATAAGGAGGCAATTCTGATGCCTCTGGCAGAACTCAGTCTCTTTACTAATAAGGAACTTGTTGAAATGATTGTGGACTGGTCTGATGCCGCAGGTCTTATCTCTCTGGACGGCCGGATGCTGGTGAACTACGTCTGGTGATGGAGGTCTACTACGCTGCAGCGCCCAGACGTGCTTTTCCTAGGCCATCTGCAAACCAATGACAGTATTAGGCAAGAAATGTACTTGCTTGTCGAACCTATTGAATAAAAATTCCTGTTCTTCTCATGCGTTCTGATTGCGTGCGTTCTTACAGTAGGTGAAATGTTCCGAAGTTTGCAAATGATCACTAACCACTCGAAAACCGATATCAGTGTGTGAATGCAGTTAATTCATAACAACTTAAAAAGAATCAGTACTATAAAATAAATGTTAAAGACAATGATGCGTTCGAAAATATAAAGTTTTTTAGACAGGCGGAAAATCTCGGAGAAGACAAAAATGGTCGTAGTTTAGAAAACTTCAAACTTATATTAATAAAAAGCCTCTCCATGCAAAAGCTGAGTAAATAGCAAAGCAAAAATCGAATGATTTCTGAAAGTAATCTCTTTGTGAAGTTTACATTAAAATATTTCTGTAATTTCAGGTATAGGCGTTTGCATAGAGCCTACATTTTGCGTACAGATTCCAAAACGGTCTCCCTAGGATTTGTGGGACTCTTAACAAGTTTGAATTGATTGGGATGTGGTTCGAAAAGGCAAACATGATTTTGCCTGATTTCGACGATTGGGACATCAGAGAAACAAAAGTTCTCATACGGAGGCATGTTGCCTCGTTGGTCAGTAAAGTAAATTTGACAGGTGTAGCCATAAACATACCGTCTTGTGTATATGAAGAGAACTTTTCATCCACGAAATTTATCTGCATTTTTCGTTCGTTCTGGATCACGCTGAATTTCAGATCGGCCGTAAAATACCGCTCCGTTCTAGGACTATAAATAAGCGGCAGAGTGGCCATATAAATAATGATATTTTGCTAAAGCTGTTAATATTTTGCTCGTTCTATTTTTAAAATACGTATGCGCAGAAGCTATACTGCTCAAAAAGAAGTGTGCGCATGTTCAAAACTGAAAATGAAAATTCAGTGGTAATCATTTCTGTGATAAAACATAGAGTTTTCCAAACCGCAAAACAGTTTCCGCCCATTTAAACGAAACATTGCTTGTGGGTGTTATCGGTGCGCTCTAGGGCACCAAATTGCACTGATATGCTAATTTGACTTCTCAGATTAGCAAAGTTGAGATATCCGGGTTGATTAATTGAAAACGAAGGCAGGCTCTCCGGAAGAGGTTTATTTAAGTGCTGACGTTTCGAAGAGCTGGGTCGGCTATTCATTGTCAAAGCGTAAACTGCACTTAATCGATCAGAAATTTAATTTAAAGTGGCAGTTGTGTTGGCCGGCCTCATGCTGATCGATTTTTCCCTCCTCTCGCTGCCTCGGCCTCTCGGCAGATGGTTGACGGGCGTTTTGCCTGTGTGCTTTGTGAGTCATCACTCCGTCGAGGGGAACTGATTGGACTTTAGGCGGGCGGTTGGTCTGGCGGTTCTTCTTCTTCCTCACCGAGTAGACTCAGCGTCGGGCTATCTCCGTGCGGCCTTCTTAAGTCCGGTGTGGTTGTTTGGTCCTGAGCTCTACGATTGTGATGACCTAGGACTTTGTAAGCTGCAGGAAGGTCCAGATGCCTGTTGATAGAGTGGGCACAGATATGCTTATTTGATTTCTAGAAATCAAAAGACGCGCTGCTCCTCTGGAAATAACCTGTGTGTTAGCTAACTAGTTTTCACAGTAAGCATAGAACCAAAAATCAATTTTTACGTTTGGAGAGCTCTGTTTAGTAGAATTTTTGAGGGTGAATTACTGACCTCTCAAAGATCAAGACTCCCAGATGTGTAATCGAAGTCTTGGACAGGTATTAGCATAGGAAATTGTCCAAATATATCGCAATGTTCATTTTCGCTCAAATTTATAGATAAAATTATTTGGAACGCAGGCATCCCAAGAAATATAAATTGAAATCAAAACGTTCTTTGGGAAAGGGAGAAAACTTTATTGAGTAAATTTTCGACGTCGGTTCCCCGTGTCGTCATCAGACTAGAGTAAATGTGCTGAAAACAATTAAAATTTCAAACGTGCTACAAAATCAATACTTATTTGGTGCCTCAGCTAGTAAGCTGCCGTCGTGTGTGTCAGTCCGTATTGATCGGCTTTCGTCTCTTCCACTTTTCTCTGAGATTCTTGTACGTGGCATCTAACTCGATATGCCTGTTGATGCATGACTCATCGGAGTGCATGGCTTCAAGAAACTCTCGGCCTTTTTTAGATGGACAAACTCCGACGATGCGAGTTTTGTCCCATGCGAAATTGTGCCCAGTATCAAGAGTGTGCATGGCCATTTGAGACAAGTGGTCTCGCCTCTTAACTGCAAGTTGATGTTCGTGGATGCGTGTAGAGGCACATTTTCCCGTTTGGCCACAATATACGGCATCACAGGCTTCGCATGGGATCTTATAGACGACTTCTTTTTTATTGAGATAGCCAACCCTATCCTTAGGGTGTACAAGCTGGGTGCGTAAAGTAGTCGTCGGCTTGTGCGCCACTTTTATCTGGTGTTTCCTCAAGTGTCTTTCAACAATTTCAGACACATTCCTGATGTAAGGAAGGATTCGCCAAGTGTTTGCTTTGGGCGCCTGATTGGAACTATCTAGTTCCTTAGTTTTTATCTCTTGTTGTTTCATGCATCGACGTACGAAATCTCTCGGGTATCCGTTCTGGGAATTATTTGTGCATATTTTCTGCTCAAGAAAAGAGCATCTCCTTGAAGGGAACGAACGAGCAGGCACAATGTGCAGTGTTTAAGAAGTCCGAAAATTTTCACATCAGGTTCTCTCATCAGGTTTCCTTCGATAGGTTGCGTACTCTGGGCTTCTGGTTGACATTTTGGTAACCTTTGTCTGTAAGAACTTGAGTCAAAGGCAGATCGTAGGAGGTCGGCGCTGGGTCATTTGAAAATGTTGCAGTTTTCGAAAGTCTCTGTGTTTTTTCACGCCGAGCAAACCGCTGTCTACCTGGACGTAGATTAAGACGAGTTTAACGCGTGTGTTAATTAGAATTCAGACTCTATTCGGACCAGGGGTACTACTACTTTTGCTGTCGGGCCTACTTCTCGCCTCTACCGGAGCAGGCATAATACGTTTTTTAGTCGGTCGTAACAACATTTGATGTTAACCCAAGATCAAACATACCTTTGGTAATTTTAAGATTGAGCGCAGAAGAAAAGGAGAGTGAGTTCGTACGAAATTGAAAGGAAGGAGATGTTAAGTGGGGCTCTGGTAAAAAAGAAGACACCCCTTAATTTACATCCTCTATTCCAGCAAAGCCACGCGTATAGGTAACTTAAAATGCCAAAAGGTGAGAAGCCAAGCGATTTTCCACGTCTTGTAAGGACCTTATTATGCTCTTGCGATAAAAGAATTGTCGAATGCTTTCGCCCATGAGCGGAAGCGCCAAGTTAACTGCAGTTGACTTTTAGGTGATCACTTTCTTGCGTAATTTCGAAGTCTGTACTATAGCCGAGCATGGTAGACGATAGATGGAAAAAAGACGATTGGAAAGAGGCAATTGCAAACGTAAGGCGTCGAGTATTACTCTGGCAGAGTTTAAAGAAGGCTGCCAACGGAACTTGGTTTGATCGATGGAGGCTTGCGTCAGTGTCTTTTAAAACAGCCTCTCGAACTCTTGACTTCACGATCCTTCCGAAGACGACGTTGGCGAGGGGAGTTTGTTCATATGAGCTTACTTTCTAACGGCATTTGCCCAGAGAATGGCAGTTTTTGAATTTTCAAAGGATAGAGCAACCTACGGGAACAGCGACAACAGAAGAGATAAACGGTGCAAAGTACGAGAGATTTTTTCGACAGTAACGGTGATAGAGAGTGATCGAAAGGATGGCTATGGTTGGATTTAGATGTCAGGGTGTGTTGAGCAGTGGCGTCCTGGTTAGCCAATGGTTCGGAATTGAATAGGAAATTACAAGAGGTGACGCAGTCTTTGGGATTTGCCCCAATTAACGAAACTACGATTTACTCCCCGGAGACCGACTCAAATTTGCTGGATAAAATTCCTCAACTAATGATGAGCGATCTGTCCTTAAATGAAGACATTAAGAGGAGTATCTGAAGGAAGATCGCGCTTTTTGGCAGTCAATTTACCGTATCACATTTGGTGGATTACAGAAGTGTCAGTAGGTTGGACGGGTAACTTGAACCAAATGTGATTAAACTCGCCTCGTCCGGCGGGGTCTCGTTGCTCAAGTAGTTAGAGCGTTGGCTGTAGTTGAGTCTCCTCCTACCTGCGTGAGTTCGAATCCAACCGAGGCACCGATTTTTCACGGTTGTGTCGATATGAAATAACGATCTAACTAAGAGAAGCAGACTTACCGAATGAACTACCAATCGTGTCAGTCGACTCACCAGGTAGACATGCATGAAATCTCTGCCTGCATGTAATGAAGAAATTATAATAGCATAGATCGCCCATAATAGCATAGGCACAATGACGTTCAAAAATGGTATGTTTATACAGTTTTCTTTCAAATATCTCACAAAAATTGGTGTCCTGCGAACTGTGACAGTTAGCAAATAGCCTAATTATTGATTATGTGTTCCAGGATGATGATGATTGTGCGAGGAGTGATCGAAATTGTTTCGTTTTCGGATTAAAAGATGTAGTTTTTACAAATCCAAGGGAGGTGTGACTTGGGTTCACAGTAAGTAAAACAATAAAAATACAGGGTTTTATAAGATTAAACTTCAAAGGATCGGTCATTGATAAAAAGATAGAAGGATTGTTTGCATACCAAGGGGATTGTTCATCCGCAAAATTACTGTATGGATTTTAATGGTAGCGGTCAGCTTATGATGTTTTTTGGTGACGGTATGGAGAAAGATCCCACTTAACTTACGCAGACTGTGGATCACGTCATATGGGCTTTTATCTTGGCATTCATTCGCAGGCCTTTGCAGATATTACACTGCCATTAACAATTGCTTGCCATGATTCAAATTATCACTAAAATTCCTTTATTTTTTGAAATTTACTTTTTG